GTCTGCTTTGGTTGTGGTTGTGGGGTTCCCTCGCTCAAAACGAGCATAAAAGTTTTTGAGCTCGTTGAGGAAGGAGACATCAGAGGATGCGGGGGAGGGTTTGGTGGTCCTGTAGTCTGTAATGGTCTGGAGTCCTTGCCACATGCGTCGGGGGTTGGAGTTGGAGAAGTGTTCTTCTACCTTCTTTTTGTAATGGTGTTTGGCTTTTTTGATGCCCTTCTTTAGATTAGCCCTGGCTGTACTGTAGGGGTGTGCATCTCCTGACCTAAAGGCGGATGCCACACAGTGTAGGAAAACATCCTCAATGCTTACTGTTAAAGTAAACAACTGTGGGGTAATTACTGTGCAGTGTCTATGTGATTTGTAACATACACAATCACACACACAGATGTGCAAATTTGAAGAGCTTCTAAACATTCTCTAGGAGTCAGTGGTTCATGGGGATTACATGTATTAATGAGTCTGGAGACACTAATACTGGAGGCTTATCCTGCATGCTGTGTATTGTGCTGAATGTATGTGGATTCGCTACTCTGCACTGCTCCAGCTGTCCACTCGTTCATCAGTCGCTCATTGTGTCAGCTTCTCTTTAAGTATCAGGTAGAATTAGCTGAAGCCATAAGTAGATTTGAAGATATTAGGTCTTCATTGCTGCTTTTAAAGTCTTCCACAGTGACTGTAAATCCAGTAGAATTACTTAATGGTTTCTGTAAAAACATCGGTGTTGGTTACCTGTTATGTTTTTCCTTACTTTCTGTCATACATGTGTTGTTACTACAATGAATCTTCATATTGTATTTCTATATATGGAAGGAGTCCCTATGAGCGAAAAGCTCTCAGGCTCTTTTTTTCTACTCTTTGCTCCACATGATGTCACTGAGAATGAACCTGCTCAATGCTACAATTATAGCATTTCGTGGTTGGAGACCAAAGAAAGAGTACAGTTATTGCTGTAACTGTGTGCAGTGAATTTGTGATCTCATTTCCTTTTGAAGTGGCTCCTTCTAAGACCGGAACCAGGTCTGCAACCAGTCACACTTTTGCCTTCTTCAAAGTAGCTTTAGCGCAACAAGATAGTGGTAAAGAGAGACTAGTCAGCATGCTGTTATGTTACGATTCGAATGGGGTCAACCTGGCAATTATATTAAGTCTGTAAGAATAAAGCAGTCAACGGTTATAAATAGACAAAATTCGCTGTCTGTCCATCTAAATACACAGAAGTGCAAATTCAGTGTAGTGCTGCAAACCTCATAGATTTAAAACAGAAATTCAAAAAATTCCCATACAAATAATAATAAACTTACATCGGCATTTGGCATGCTTGCTTTTTATGTAAAAATGTCTGCAGTTGATTGGGTCGAGTCCCTTATTGCAAAGAGTCGTGTCAGAGGTGAGTTGCACTCATTGGTGCATACTTACTTATTGATTGCAGCATTTTGACATTCTTTATTTAGAAATTATACGGCAACGGTTTGCAAACTTTTCCCAGCCTGAAATGGCGGGGGCATTTAAAAAAATGCTGCTTTTTTCTCGGTTATCTTTGCCTTATGCTAAATTTGTTTGATGATCTGAAACGTGTATTGAGTAAATGAGCATGGAGTAAATCCTTTTTCAGTTTTTTGTTGGTGGAGTGGCAGAATTATCTTTAGCGTTTCTTGTGTGGATTGTACCTGAGATTTAGAAACAGCTGTTCACGAGATTACTTCCCTGCAGAAAATATAAAGCCTGAATATTTTTACATAAAACCTGAAGTTATGAGGTGATGGTTCTCCTTTAATGATAACACCATTGAGTGAAAATGGCACAGAAATAAAATGATCCTCATAAAAAGCATATGTGCTGTGTCAGTGTGAACAATATGACTCATGGAGCATTGTGCGCTACGATTGCAGCAGTAGTAAAAGCTCTTCCTCGATAATGCTTAAGCTCTCTCCGTGGCCAGAAGCAAAAGTCCTCAAGTGGAAAATGTCCATAAACTGACGAGTCTGGTTTTAAGCAGACTTCAGGTGTCCGCAATCCTGAGCTCGGGGTTGCACGTTATTCGATTAACCTCTGTGAGTTTTCTTTCGCAACCGCTCTTGTGGCTTCAGCTGTTGACCGTAATGATAACTGGACCAAACCTGTGCAGCCGTCCACACGCCTGTCTTTCACCTCACACTGTTTTTGCTCCACTCGTGGTAGTAACACAGCTCTCTCTTCCTTTTTCCAGACTGGCCAGATGAATCCCATGACGCAGTTGTACTACAAAAAGGTGAGTCAAACACAGTCTCGTTCTTGATCCTGAAACCAACTTACAAGATGTGCTGATTTGTAAAATTAACCTCATTCTCGTAATTGGAACTTGTTCATCTCCACAAAGTTAGAAGTTCTGAATTGCACAAAGCAGACACGTTGGTGTTTCAGCCTCTCCATCACTCTGCTGGGTTTACAGTGGTGTGTGGAGAAGATACCTGAGTGAAAAGGCTTCACTTGGAGAGTTTCAGTGTGCTTGCATCTTGTTGATTGATGATGGTAAATGAACTGTATCTTAAAGACAGAAATAATTTTTAGCACATTGCCCTAAGAAAAACACATTAAAATACACTGAAGTATTAAAAAAAAAAAAAACTATCTAATGGTAGTTTCATTTTCCAGTCATCCTGAGAACTGCTTCTGATCCCTTTAAGTGGCCAAGAGAGACAGAAGATTTCCTAATATTGCTTTCATTTCATTTCATTAATTGCCTTTTCTTCATTCTTATACTTATTTAAAATTTATTTTTTGAGTTTTATTTTAAACTGGTTAGTATCACTACTAACCTTTATTTCTTCTTGTAACTCATTCCAGAATTTAACTCCCGCTATTGAAATAGACATCCTTTTCAATGTTGTTCTTACTCTTTGCAATTTTAATTTCCACTTCCCTCTACAATTATACCTCCCTTCTCTTTCTAAGAACCACTTACTTATTTGGATTTGTAACATCCCTTTCCTTGCCTTATATATTATTTGCACTGTTTTAAACTTCACCGTCTTAATAAAAAGTGTGTTTGTGTGAGCCCTATACCCCTCCTGATTTATTAGTCTAATAGCCCTTTTCTGCATTATGATTATAGTCTGAATATTACTTTTATATGTATTTCCCCAAACCTCTACACAATAACTCACGTATGGTAATAGTAAAGCACAATATAACACATACAATGTTTTCCTATCCAGAAATTGTTTTGCTTTCCCCACGACAGCAATGCCCCGAGCTAACTTTCCCCTCACATAAGTGATGTGTGATTTCCAACAGGCCTGATCAATGATTACACCAAGAAATTTTATGGTATTAACCCTTTCTAGATATACATTATCAACACAAATTTCAATGTTAATGTTTTTCGTATAGTTTCCGAATAACATAAACAAAAAATCAATTAATTAACAATAAAGTTAAAGTTGTTGTCATTTTAAATCTGCTCATCGTAAGAATGAATTTCATATTAGTTTGATGCCTTTACTGATTTCTGTGAACTATTCTTAATAATAATAATAATAATAATAATAATAATAATAATAATAATTGTACTGCAAACATCTTTAATGACTTAAAAAAAAAACACAAATTTTTACACACATTTGAAATTTTTATGAATGCTGTTTTTGTCAACAGAGGGTGGAAAGTATACATTTGACTACAGCTGGTAGTTTCTCGTTACACATATAAAATGTTTGTTTGACAGTGGTCATTGGATTGAGTAAACATCAGAACACTGGGAATGTCCAAAAAACTAAGAGCTTAAAACGACTGCTGATTCCAAGATCATCAGTTCAAACAGTTGCATGAAACAAGCAATTTGGATGTTTCACCACTTTGCTTAGACCCAAACTGTCACTCTCAGTTGAGAGCAAATTGGCTAGGATGCTAAGAATCAACCCAGGAAATACCAGAGCTTAAGCCTGGCATGAACTGGAAACTGCTGGAACACCAGGGTCACTGTCCACAGTGAAGCCAGCTTTAAATCCTTTGCTCAAGGCTCGACTGAAATTTGCAGCTGCCCACATAGTCAAGCCAAATGCCATCTGCAGGAAAGGTTTATGGTCAGCTGATCGAGCTATTTGGCAACAAAGACAAGAGGTTTGTTTGGAGAAGTAATAATTAGGCTTTCAGACCTAAGACCACTACATCAGCTGGCGAGCATGGTGATTGTAGCGTCATGCTCTGGGGCTGTTTTTTGCCACTGGTAGTAAAGTGGATAAAATGATGGAGGAGGAGTGCTGTCTCCTAATTCTTCAAGTTCACCTCACACACCTGAAGTGGGTTTAGAGTGGATAAAGCAGGCTAATATTAAGGTTCGATTTCAACTCTGTTAAAAACGAATTAACTATGCTTCAAACTCCACCAAGTCTTACATTTGACCACCGAGAGCTGTCAAATATCCAGCCAAAATTATGCAAGTTGTGCCAGATATAAATGGTATATAATGGTATGTATATATTTGAGCCTGTATGTATACTGTTGACTCTGAATTCAAAATAAGTTATAAGTTGTACACCCAGGTCTTGTTTTTGTTTAAAGTCATTAAAGCTGTACAGTTAGACCACTCTGGGAAAAAGAACAGTTTTAAATAAATTATTAAAAAACTAAATGTATGGCCATGATGGCTGTATTTTGGCAAAACAACTGTGTACCCACCACTACACGGGTGCAACTTTGGTGAAAATTTATTTTGCATGTGCATTAGTTCAATAACATAGCTGGCTCATATGTTTTTTGTTTTTTGTTCATGTCGCTACTTACATGCAGTTTGCCTCATGTTGGCGTCCTCTGTTTTTGTGGTTTAGGCGACATATTCGCCGTACCGTGACCGCATCCCACTTCAGATTGTCCGTGCTGAGGTGGAGCTGTCTGCTGAGGAGCGGGCCTACCTCACAGCTGTAGAGAAAGGTAAATGCACACACAGCCTTGCACAGCCATCTTCTTTTTTTTAGCCGCATAGTTGCCTCCATAAATGCATTCTACTGATCCACTCACCCGTTAAATGATGCTGAGTTTACAGGGAGTGCAGAATTATTAGGCAAATGAGTATTTTGTCCACATCATCCTCTTCATGCATGTTGTCTTACTCCAAGCTGTATAGGCTCAAAAGCCTACTACCAATTAAGCATATTAGGTGATGTGCATCTCTGTAATGAGAAGGGGTGTGGTCTAATGACATCAACACCCTATATCAGGTGTGCATAATTATTAGGCAACGTCCTTTCCTTTGGCAAAATGGGTCAAAAGAAGGACTTGACAGGCTCAGAAAAGTCAAAAATAGTGAGATATCTTGCAGAGGGATGCAGCAATCTCAAAATTGCAAAGCTTCTGAAGCGTGATCATCGAACAATCAAGCGTTTCATTCAAAATAGTCAACAGGGTCGCAAGAAGCGTGTGGAAAAACCAAGGCACAAAATAACTGCCCATGAACTGAGAAAAGTCAAGCGTGCAGCTGCCAAGATGCCACTTGCCACCAGTTTGGCCATATTTCAGAGCTGCAACATCACTGGAGTGCCCAAAAGCACAAGGTGTGCAATACTCAGAGACATGGCCAAGGTAAGAAAGGCTGAAAGACGACCACCACTGAACAAGACACACAAGCTGAAACGTCAAGACTGGGCCAAGAAATATCTCAAGACTGGTTTTTCTAAGGTTTTATGGACTGATGAAATGAGAGTCTTGATGGGCCTGTGGCTGGATTGGTAAAGGGCAGAGAGCTCCAGTCCGACTCAGACGCCAGCAAGGTGGAGGTGGAGTACTGGTTTGGGCTGGTATCATCAAAGATGAGCTTGTGGGGCCTTTTCGGGTTGAGGATGGAGTCAAGCTCAACTCCCAGTCCTACTGGCAGCTTCTGGAAGACACCTTCTTCAAGCAGTGGTACAGGAAGAAGTCTGCATCCTTCAAGAAAAACCTGATTTTCATGCAGGACAATGCTCCATCACACGCGTCCAAGTACTCCACAGCGTGGCTGGCAAGAAAGGGTATAAAAGAAGAAAAACTAATGACATGGCCTCCTTGTTCACCTGATCTGAACCCCATTGAGAACCTGTGGTCCATCATCAAATGTGAGATTTACAAGGAGGGACAACAGTACACCTCTCTGAACAGTGTCTGGGAGGCTGTGGTTGCTGCTGCACGCAATGTTGATGGTGAACAGATCAAAACACTGACAGAATCCATGGATGGCAGGCTTTTGAGTGTCCTTGCAAAGAAAGGTGGCTATATTGGTCGCTGATTTGTTTTTGTTTTGTTTTTGAATGTCAGAAATGTATATTTGTGAATGTGGAGATGTTATATTGGTTTCACTGGTAAAAATCAATAATTGAAATGGGTATATATTTGTTTTTTGTTAAGTTGCCTAATAATTATGCACAGTAATAGTCACCTGCACACACAGATATCCCCCTAAAATAGCTAAAACTAAAAACAAACTAAAAACTACTTCCAAAAACATTCAGCTTTGATATTAATGAGTTTTTTGGGTTCATTGAGAACATGGTTGTTGTTCAATAATAAAATTATTCCTCAAAAATACAACTTGCCTAATAATTCTGCACTCCCTGTATACTTTCTGATAGCTGAGCAGCTGCTCAGTCAGTGTGTCAGTACACAGGTGTCTCTGCAACGTGTGCTGCAGCAAACGTCCTTGAACAAGATGCTGCAACCAGAAATTCATTGACTAATCGGACACAGCTTCATAGCGTGAAGTCTACTGCAAAAGCAACCCAAGAGTTTCTCAAAGCAAAGAAACGAGTTCAGTCACCTGATCACAACCTTACAGAGCATTTTACTCTAAAGTCAAATCTGAAGGCAGAGAGACCCACAGAAAAGTACCAACTGAAAGCAGCTGGAGTAGAGGCCTACCAGAGCACCTTAAGGAAGTAAACACAGCACTGGGAGATGCTCATGCAGAGCAAAAAGTGTCATTTTCCAAACACTTGCCGACCTGACTATGCTTTCTAAATATGTCACTTTCCTGCAACCAGTTGTAAGAAACACAGGAAAGGTTTTCACAAGAGTCCTGCATGCAGCTTATACAGCAACGTAGCATTAAGTTTAAATCAAGTTCATCATCATATTTCAAACACAAAAATGAAGACAACCTTAAATAAGTTTACATCGTGGGCCAAATGAAACTCCATTTTCTAGCATAAAGATATTTAGCTAAATATTTAATCCCTGAGATGTCTTAATGTAACAAAAAGTACAGGATACATAATAAATGTGTAATATTACAGTAGTTCATGTAGCTCCATCATCCAGACTATTCTGTATTTATAATGATTTTTGTTTTTGTTTTGTTCTTCAACTCCTGAAAACACAGTTAAAAGTTGAAAATCTTTACACTCCTTCACATTTTCCAAAGTGTCTTTGCAAGGCCAATTCTGGCTCCCAGGCCTTATGTTTGACACCCCTGCTTTTAAAAAGATCATTATACATTAGATACTAGTCATACACACATGTACAGTGCTTTTCAACAAACAACAATAGTAAGTTGCACAGTAACTAGCCCTTTCTCAGGATACCTTACCCTGCTTTATTAAAAAAATATTTTGTTATACATATTTTATTCATATCCGCATTTTAAATGTAGTTTGATGGCATTTATTTCATCACAAACCTGCGTGGGCCCTTCTTCGAGGAGTTTGTGTGTATAAATATATATATTTAAGTATAAATGAATAAGCATATATATCATACACATATCTGTATTGGCATTAGCTCCCTGACAGATTTGTATTTTACAGACTTTCACATCAGTAGACACATAAAGAATAATTTGGGTGAGAAAGTGAAATTTTTGATGAAGCATGGTTAGCCACCTGCACACTTCAACTATCCTCTTCCTGTAGGTGACTATGCGGGAGTGAAACATGCCCTTCGCGAAGCAGAGGTGTACTACAACATGGATGTGAACTGTCTGGACCCGCTGGGCCGCAGTGCTCTCCTCATCGCCATCGAGAACGAGAACCTGGAGATCATGGAGCTCCTGCTCGACCACGGCATCCACACGGGCGACGCCCTGCTGTACGCCATCAGGAAGGAGGTGGTGGGTGCCGTGGAACTGCTGCTGTCACACAAAAGGCCCAGCGGAGAGAAACAGGTGTGTGCGGATGTTTCTTTTTAACTACGCCTAAAGTTTATGTCTTTTGGTTTGTGGTGAACCGACTTCACATTTTCAGTGGCCCCATCTGGACTCTGGAAATGTTTCTGGCGACACCACTGGTTCAGACCAAACAGAGAGGGAGAGCGAGCCCTCTGTGGGTATATGTTAGCGTGTTGCATCCAGACACATCCATGCATGCACGTGTTTGCATTTACTCATCCGTGAATGTGCGCCTGTGTGAGTATTTTTCCATTTTTGTGTGTGTGTGTGTGTGTGTGTGTGTGTGTGTGTGTGAGTGTGTGTGTGTGTGTGTGTGTGTGTGTGTGTGTGTGTGTGTGTGTGAGAGAGAGAGAGATAATGAGCAGCACATCCATTCATTGTAATGCTCCATGCCACATTCTGCTGAGAGGAGGGAAATTAAACAGCCCGTTTCATAGACAAACTGTGAAATAGGATTTGGAGACAGACAGCATGTTTGTCTGCCTGCTGCATTTCTGTTTGTGTGTCAGAGAGAGAAAGAGGAGCAGAGGAAGGAAAACGCACTACAGTTTAGTTTAAAGAGTAGGTGTTAGGGGGTTAAGATGGAGAGATTCAGAGATGGGTAGTTAAAAAACAGATTCACAGCGATTCAAACTGACAGGGGAGTAAATGTGAAGACGGAACGAACGGGAAGTAAATTGCAAAATGTAAAAAATAAATAAGTGAAACAAAGACGTCTTCTTAAAAAATATTCCTGGACTGTTGAGGCTGTGAGGTTCGATGTCACCATAGCAACCAACCCTTGGCCAAAGCAGAGGATTGTGGGAAGGTTTTGGTTGCCTCTCAGTTGGATGTGGATGAGAACAAATCTGTTCTTCCAGTGTTTCTGTTTATCTTCTCATACTTTTTGTCTCTCTTCAGTTACCTTACACATCACACATGCGTAATACACAGTGATGTCAGCACAGCGCAGATTTCTGTAATAATGATAATAAAGCAGTGGGCAGCAACACATACATGTTAATCTGTTTTACTGTCTTGTATAAAATATTGGCCTATGTGTGAGATTTAGAAAGCAAGAGACATGCAGCACCGTGTTGTTGTTTCAGAATTGCACAGACTGTATATGAAAGATGCACATAACCACCATGATGTTGGTTTGTTGAAGCATTGAGTATTTTGGTCATTGTCATATTAGCTTTGTCAAGGACATCATAAGCGAGATGGATGTGACCACGATTCCGAGGGTCACCGGATGCTCATAATGTAGTCGTTAATCACACCGCATGGAGTTAGACCTGCCCAAGAAAATGTTACTTTATCCTTTTTGACTAAAACAAACATCATACATTAACCAGAAAGACTTGAAACTAACATTTGTTACCATAAAATCCTCAGAAAAGTTAGTACTGAGGTCGTGGAGTATGGGAATTTTGCAATTACATGTCCCCCTGCTGACCGTTAGAAAGAATTCAAATTGAACTTACTCCCATATTAATGTTGTTATTTTTTTGTCTATCTTTTATATACAGTTTATTTCAATTGTCCAATACGTTCAATAAGATCTCAGTCTTGTAGCATGCTAAAACAATATGTGTGTGTAGGCTACGGCATCAGGATTGAATTTGGAGGGTGTAGCTGCTGGTGCTGGCTAGCTTGGTTAGCGAGGGGTGTAATTCAGGGTGAAATTACATGAATACTAAGTTTGCTAAGTGAATAACAGGCTTAAAATTGTGCTTGTGGGAGTTTCTGTAGGAAAAAATGAACCCCAACTAGAGTTATAGAAAAAAATTCAACCCCTGCACAATTATCATCGGGGGTGGCTTTAAAAACCCAAACGCTTTTCTACTACAATATTAACATTTTTTTTCTGCTGCTGCACAGTTACCGAAGTCTAAAGATGGATACAGGAAGAGACGAGTAGCAGTGTGGCAAACAGAGAGATTGGTAATGAGTAAAGAAAATCAACACCTATTTATGCAAGATAATTCATAATTTTATTGGGTGGGTTATTTTGGTTTGATCTGATTATTTGGGGGGTCATAACCCCCCTAACCCCCCTGGAAATTACGCCCCTGAAACTATCTATTTCACCAATATTCAGGGCACAGTATTGAGTTTTGCACACACATCAGTGCTCGATACTTATATTAAGAGCTGGATGTGTGCTTTGTGAGTTTACGTATGTTTCTAAACTGCACTTTTCTACTGACAGGTAGAATCAGGGCCTTTTATCTGCTCCTGCAAAGTTAAACTGTTGATCTTTCTGCCATCCCTCTCCATCTGACTCAGTCTGACTCCCCCTCTTTCTTTGATTACCTCTCTATATCTCTGCGTCCATCCTCCCTCACTCCCCTGTTCACATCCACTCCTCACTCTTCATTACCAGCATACTCGAAATAGAAGGACTGAGGCAACAGCCCAAAGAACAAAAGGGAGGGAAGGAGGAAGAAGAGAATGATTTTTATTTTTTAAGCATGGACAAAAGGATTAGATCTGGAGCTCTCTGCCCTGAAGAGCGCAAACAGAGATGGAGTGGAGTCAAACAAAGAAGAAAAACAGCAAATGCAGCATGTAGGAAATCAGATGGGCATTGAGGAAAAATATAGGAAACAAGACACATTAGGAGGGAGACAAAGTGAGAAATAGTTGCGAAGAAAGATGCAGATGAAGGAAGGTTTTGTGTGTCCTTTGATGTGTGAAGCAAATAATTAGAATTGCATGTGTGTAACTGGAGTCAGTGTTAATTTGGGTTTTGATCTGAGCGTATTCATCTGGATTGGATGCACGTGTGTCTGCACTGATGGATGCGAGGAGACAATACAGTGGATTTTTTATTGTCATGCATTGTCTGGTTTTGTTTTTAAAGTGAAATCTAATTTAAAGTAAATCCATAACACAAAACATCTTTTTATGATTTAGCCAGAAAAACAGGATTTCTTGCACAAACTTTCTGCAATTTCACTCCTAATTTCTTGTTATAACTTCACAGGACTCTAGCTGAGATCCATTTTCAGTAAACCAGCAGCTCCTTTGTGGACTTTTTTCTTCTTCACATTACAGTGTAACAAAGCAAGTGTGACCCACTGTGATAAACTACAGAAACCATTTGACTGCTCTTTGGAAAATTCCCAGTTTGATGGTTGGCTCTGTGTGCCCCCATCCCAAAGTACCCCCACACTGTTCCCAGCATTTCCTGCAGTGACTTTCACGAGAGCTTGCAGCCATCAGCGTATGAATGGGTAATTTGAGAGCCAAATCATAATGTGCTTCAGATAATAGCCACGAATAAATGGAGTCCAGAATAAAAAGGGGTCCAAATTCTGACACAGTTTGGAGTCAAAAACGACCTTTTATATAAATTTTGCTTTCAATCGTTCTCCTTTCAAGGGGTCAACAGCAGTCGTGCCCTAGATATGTTGGATTTTTTGACTGACAGCGACACTGTTGTGGCTGAAAAATGTTTTGGATTGTGAATGTGCATCTGAGTGTGGTTATCATGGCAACACATGGTCCTGGAGATGCTTATAGGACCTGGAGCTACTACTAAAGGTGCCGTACTGCTTTGGGAGGTGTTAATATGTTTCTGGACAGATTTTAAGGAAGTTTGGGGTTTTTTGGGTTTTTTATTTTTACTTCAGTTTCTATAAGCGCCAGACATTTTGAGTTGTTGAATTTAATGTGAAGGTTTGGGTATAAAGTTTTATGTGGTGTGACCTCAGATTACTGAATAAAGTCACCAGGTATCAGGAGCAAAAGGATAGAGCAGGCTGATATAGGTCTTGTCTTGATACTAATATTTGATATTCAGTGCTGATGAAGTCCTGGGAGTGAGAAACACAAAACTGTTTTGTTAGCTTTATCTTTCCCCTTGGGATCAATAAAATGTTCTAAATATCAGACTGCTTGGTTATCAGCCTGCCATTAAATACATTGGCTTTGTTTTACTAAAAGCCCTTTTGTTTATTGCCATTTTTAATGTATTAGTACCTCCTAATGACATAGCTGGTTTTCTTTCCACTGTGTAAGTCTGTGTGGGTGCGTGTTTGTGTGTAATCATGGCAAAATGTGGTCTGAGAGACACCTGCTCTAACAGGTGCCACTCTGTCGTGGCTGAAATTGTTTTCACCTTGTGTGTGCGTGTGTGCGTGTGTGTGTGTGTGTGTGTGTGTGGTGTTATCATGGCAACATATGGTCCTGGAGACACTTGTTACTACCACTACCAGGTAGTTTTGAGTACTTTGGCTTGTGTTTATGTGTCTGTCTGTGGATTTTGTCAAGACTATAGTCACAGTCCAGCATGACACAGTCAAGAGACTTTAGGGTTGCAGACAACACTTAAGTAAAGACAGACTGTGGAGACAAATGCCGTCCCAGGATTACTGGTATTGTCGCAGTGGGATCACATGCTACATGGTGTCTTTATTGTCTTGTGTTGGTTCTGTAGTTTGTGTTCTTGGTCTTTGAGGCTTTTGATATTTGAGTTTCTCACTTCTGCTTTGATCTTTATCACTTCTGTGGAGTTTTGGTACATGTGTACTGATGGTGTGGGTTCCCATTTTAATTTGAATTTGTTTTTAATTCCCTCAGTGTCCCGCCCGATTCTTTGGTCATGCCTCAGCCCCTTTGTGTTTTCTTGTTTTCTTTCCTTCGGTTGTTTCCGGTTTTACTTTGTTTCCTGCCTCAGGTTTGCTTCCTGTCTGTATTCTCCATGTCTAGATTGTTTTCACCTTCAGTTATCAGTTACTTGTTTATAAATAGTCCTACCCACCCTGAAGCTTTTATCAGATCTTCTCCTGTTCATCTCTCCTGTGTCTGTTGTGAGTTTATTTGCCCTTAATTATTTTCAAAGTTACCTTTACTCTTTGGGTTATTTTCCTGGAGTTGCCTTCTCAGGGACTTTCAGTGCTTTGAATTAAACTTGTCTTTTGGTCCATCCAAAATTGATTATGAGACACACACAATGGTAACTTATCATTTCTTCACTCCAGTAATTTAAGTATCCCTTAAAGTATTTTTTAATGACTCAAAAGTCTTGTATCAGAATACCAGTATTTTAAAACTTTATGCACTCGCAGTTCTGTGCAGAAACTGGCTCAATACTCAAGACTCCACAAATGAGTGAATGAACCTGATAACCAACTTATAACTGAAACCATAGGTTTTCTCAAAAGTTTAAAGTGCTTTTCTTGGCTAAATCTAAACGTTCAACGCACACTTTATTACGTACACCCAGTACTGGGTTGGACCTCATTTTAGACTTCAGAACTGCCTTAATTCTTTGTGATATCAACAAAGTGCTGGAAACATTCTTCACAGATTTTGGTCCATATTGACATGATAGCATCACACAGTTGCTGCAGATTTTCTTTGGCTTCCTAAACCCTACAGACGGTTGTGTGGGAAAATCCCAGCACTTTCTGAAATACTCAGATCAGCCTGTCTCAGACAACCGGCCATATTCAGACTCACTTAAATCACCTTTCTTTTTCATTCTGATTCTCAGTACGTCATTTTGACCGATACCCAGTGCACTGAAGTGCTGCCAGGTGATTAATATAGTGGCAGTCAAGTTTAGATGGGACTCAAGCTATGAAACCCAGCCTTTGCACCGTTGTAGCAGATAAAGATAAACATTTCCTCTGAACATAATCCAGCCAGCAATAAATCGGGGGAAAAATGTAGATCGAGTTTAACTAAACCTTTCTCTCATATTTCATAAGGCTGGAGTTTCCTTTTTTTTTTTTTTTTTTTTTTTTTTTTTTTTTTTTTGCCTGTCCCGTTTGGCTCTTTTGCCATCAGAATTGATTGTCTAAAGGCAAAGAAAGATGCCCAACGGATTTACTTTACCAAATTGACCATCCCAGCCTTGCCGTAATGGTCCATTTGATTCACCTTTTATTGTTTATTTTATTTTCACTTACTGAATACGGGGCTGGAGTTTCCTAAATGGTGCTCGTTCGCAGCTGCAGATGGTGCAGCCAATTTCAATGCGTGAAAAATCAATTGTACTCAAGTTATGTTCATTCTGTTATTTGCCGTTTCTGTATTTGCATGTGTCCTTGCTTATATTTACTTGTTTGTGTATTCTCGGTCTGTCTCTTCAATTTTTATTTGGGGCCCAGCCCGTGGCAGCTGTTCTCACACTCCTTATCACGGCAGGAAAAAAAGAGGGATTAGAAAAAGAGAGAGCGATCGGATGAAGAAAATAGGGTTGTGGCAGGTGAGAGGAGGAAGAGACAAAGGTAGAGAGAGATGAGGGGAGTAAGCTGATGGAAAGGAGGGGGTTAGATGAAGGGAAAACAAGGAAATGAGAGAGACGCAAGAAGCTGGAGGGGGGGGGGGAGAAAATAGAAGAATGTGGAAAAGGGAGGCGAGGAGAAGATGAGGCAGCAGAAAAGATGGAGACAGAAAGATTGGAAGGGTGAGGAGAAGCACTCTCCGTCATTCTCCCTCTGAGACATGAAAGAGTCCACACGTGTACCCTCCTTCCTCAGCCCCCCCTCCTCTCTCTTCTTCAGATGTCTGGGAGTACATGTGTGTGTGCTTTTCTTTGACATACCAGCACCCTGTCAGCCTCATTCTTAACTTTTACTTTAGGGTCCTGGTTTCAGCATAAGACAGCCTTCAACTTTATATAATATACCATCAATTGATCACGAATGTCTCCTTCACTGTTAGTAGTGGATTAAGATACCCTTTTAAATAAATTTTAGCTTTTATTTTTAATGAGATCTCTACACTCATTTTCAACATTGATCGCTCTTATGTTCCATGTTCTGCTGGTCGTTTCAGCAAAGCTCAAGGTTGTTGACATTTGGCTAGTTGAGTGTCTGGAGCAATATTTGTTTTCTAAACCATTAATCCTATTCTGTACCATTTACAATTGGAAATTACCAAAAGACTAAAGAGTCCACACAACAGTACGCATTATTCAGTCCAGCAGAGGTAGCTTGTTTGCAGTGCTTCCCCTGCTAGACTGGTGTAGCACTACATGCCATCTATGTGCAGAGAGCTCTGTTGTTGATGGGGACGGTGTACAAAGAATGTGGTCTTGATCTTTGAAGGGTTTTCTTTTTTTCACACCTCTCCTGTTCCTGGAATATTGCACTTGGCAGATGCCTATGTCATCCACTTCCAGAGACACACAGTTGGGATTTTGGAGGTCTGGACTAGAGCACGACTGCAGTGGGTAAACACCCCTCAACTGGCTCAAGTGTGCACATACTTGGGACCTTAAACTACACTTTACTCCCTTTATAAACCACCAGCAGCCTATGGAAACTGCACTTGTGGTTAAATACCTGGGACTCCTGATCTGAAGGAAAATGAAGAAGCCTTCTGTGTGAGTTTGAGTTGCCTTTAACTCAGGTCAACTATGACCTGGATGACAAGGACCCAATAATATAGCAGTACACAGACACTCTGATACTTACCCTCTTTTTCACTCAGCAGCAGGGCCTGTACCTTGTCTTTCTACATTGGCCAGATGTGGTTTGTGTTGTACTGTAAATGGAGTTTTACACACATCTTTGTGTTGTGGTAGTTTCTCAAAAAAGTTTTAATTTCTAGCATGCTTCAACAAAACTTTGAAGAGATTTTAAAGAATTGTTATTTTTGAAGAGAGTCTATTAAAATATTATGCTCAAGAAAATCTACCATCCACGTTTCTATTGATACATATTTTTTAAGTTTATTGTTATAGCAGTTATCTTTCTACAGAGGCTAGTGCAGAACAATTAATAAAACACGCAGTAATAAATATAACATCAAATTACTTGGGGAAATGCAATTGATGGCAAATACTGCACATTTGTGTTGCGTCTTAAAAATGATTTGTGACCACTCAACTGAATATTGACGTTTAAAGCTGCAGATTACAAATTTGATGGCAGTGCACTCCCAGCTGTTTTGGGTGTTTTGAAGATCCCAGCATTTTGTTTGAAGACGATGTGATCTCCGCCTCAAAAACAATCTTCCAAGCTCTGCTACATATGGCTGGCACTCTTGTTGTTGTCTTTGTGAGGTTGCCAGGCAGAGATTCCAGAAAGTTCCTGCTCTGGGCCAAGAAACAGTCTGGCACACAGCCCCCTGATATAACTGACTGTAAAGCTACAAGTGGTCGTGTTTACATTTTGTACAGATTATATGAAGCAGATGTAACGTGTCCGTTATGGGCTGGACTAACCTAGTGATCGATAGCATCATAGACTGAAGACGTGGCACTAGTCTAGAAAACTGTATCCTCTTAGTTAAGGCGTCTTGTTAACATGCGTCTGCATTTCTTTTTCGTTATTTATATGCAGCCATTACATTCTTGTTTTTCTCTCTCCATCTCTCCTTTGTCTTCCTGTAATGACAGACCTCCTGGTATTCACATGGCAAACAAACAATCTTTCACTCCCCTCTTCTCTCCCAGGTACAGCTGGTGTTCAGAGCTGCATCCATGAGGGATAAAATGAGTTTTGGAGAGGATGTGGCTTTAAATAATATACCTCTGCAGAGTTGTCTAGCAGGAAATTTCTTTTTATCGAATATATTACACTAATTTAATTTGTTTTAATCTGATTCAAGAGTGTTTGATTGGATTCATCATTTGCTTAATTTGTCTTTCACTTCCAGTTTTCCCCCTATGTAACAGTGTCACATGTGGAGCTGAATCAAAGCTTTTTAATTGGACAATAAAAGTGTTTCTTAGTCATTTTTTTCTCTTTAACTGGCGGTTGGCAGTAGGCTTTTTACCCAAATATTAAAAGGTAGATAACAGCCAGTTTAAGAGGTTTTTACTTTGTTCTTCTACAGGTTCCTTCTCTGATGATGGACAGCCAGTTTTCAGAGTTCACCCCAGATATAACTCCCATCATGCTTGCTGCTCATACAAACAACTATGAGATTATCAAGCTGCTTGTCCAGCGGAAGGTAATGGTTGTTTTACGCATAAGTTATCAACATAATGAGTAGTAAGCTCTTTTTTTGTCTGTCTTGATGGTCAAGGAATAAAGCGAGATCTTTATTTTATCAGTGATTTGTTGTTTGATGTTTTTGCTCTGTGTAGGTCACCATACCCAGACCACATCAGATACGATGCGACTGTGTTGAGTGTGTATCCAGCTCAGAGGTAAGGGATTTTCTTTCTTTAGTGCTGCATCTTTTGCATTGCTTGCATTGTGTTTGGTTTGCTAAACATTTATATTTGAATATATTGAAATTGCTTTTACAAACTTTAACTTCCAGCATGAACCCTAGATTAGACATCAGAAATTTCCAACATCATTTCAACTTTTTGAACTCGCCTACATTTAATTTTCTTATACTTTGCAACAATATGAAAGATGAATGAGCATGCTTTAGTGATATAACCAGGCTCTGAGCCTTACATTTGAAGACTTAAACATTTTTATGAAGGTCATGGTTTGGAGTGATTTTTTATTTATTTATTTTTTTTGAAACTACAAAACTGCTTTATAGTAAATTCTTGAAATCTTGTTTAATCGTTTCAGGCCTGAGAGCAGCAAATAGCTTTAGTAAATTTCCCTCAGATCCAATGTAAAAATAGACTTGTCTTCTATTTATGCTTTCCATACAAGGCACCACCAACTCTATTACACAGGAATACTGTAGATCTCAGCTTTGTTATATAAATTGAAAAGGTGCAGTCTGCAACTTTAAACCGAATTTACCCCAGCTCCACCATAATGATGATGATGATGATAATGATAAAAATAATGTCCGTTAAGCTGCTTTGCTGCTCTTATTTTTTTTTCAGTCTTGCCCAGGGAATGAAATGAAAAGAACTTTGTTCAAACAGACAATAAGTCATTAAAGCATTAGGCAATATTTCTCTATTAATCTATATTTACAATGAACACTAAACGTTAACAGACTGTTCATAGTCTAGACATACCACACCATAGTCACTCATATAAACTGGTTAAACGAGTGTTATCACACTGCTGGTGCAAAATCCGAAGACAAAAACTGAAAAACGAAAGTTCACCATCTTGTTCTGTCTGTGATAGATGCTACCCTATGACATAGTTGGCCTGCAGTTAAAACACTTGAACCATGCATGTTGAACATCCACTCTGGGAACGGTTATGTTACATGTGAAAGATGGCCAGTGTGTTAGTTTTTGTTATACCGATTGAAACTGTTTCTCGATGTTAACAGTGCCTTCTGCAAGTCTCGTAGTTAATGTAAATCTTAAAGGAGGGGTAAAAACCTTTCCTGATTCTTTGTAGGTCGACAGCCTTCGACACTCACGGTCTAGACTCAACATCTACAAGGCTTTGGCCTCGCCATCTCTCATTGCGTTGTCCAGTGAAGATCCCATCCTCACTGCCTTCAGACTGGGCTGGGAACTCAAAGAACTCAGCAAGGTATGGATGTTGATGCCTGTTGATGTCATGTTTGTTGACCAAAAGAAGAAACTCAACAAAACTCCTTCTTTTCATACATAGCCCATTACTTTTCTAAACAGCCAAGGTACAGATGTACTGGAGGAAAGCAACCTCCTAAAACTTGATGGGATGTTAAATTAACTGTGGAAGGAGTAGCATTCAGCATCATCTTCCTCTTACTCATTTGCCTCAAGTATTTCTTTCACTTATGCTGTCAAGAGTGACCGTCTCCCCCTGCATCACATTTTTTCTGGTATTTATTGTCTCAAAAGTAACAGCAAAAAGACTCTCACCATACCTTACTATAATCCCTGCAGTCTTTTCTCGGGTAACAAGAACAGACACACTTCTTCTCCAATACTGAGTCTCTATGATGCAGACTTCAGAATGGTTTATGTCAAATAATACTTTCACTTTTGGGGTCCACAAGGAGATTGTGATGCCGTTAAGCTATTCCAGCAGCAGATGGAAATCTAAAACTGAGGAAATCAAAGAGCCATCACATGTTTCCCATTAATCTTACAGCATTAATCTTACTCCACCCTTATTTCAGGTGGAGAATGAGTTTCGTCAGGAGTATGAGGAACTGTCTCAGCAGTGCAAGCGTTTCGCCAAGGACCTCCTGGATCAGGCCAGGAGTTCTAGAGAACTTGAGACCATCCTGAACCACAGAGACAACGACCAGAGTGAGGAACTAGACCCTAGACAGTGCCATGATCTGGCCAAGCTCAAACTCGCCATCAAGTACCACCAAAAAGAGGTAGGGACTCGGCTTAGATAGGAACTCCTATTAAAGAATCTTTCAGACCACTCCTCATCAAATCACTCTGTTTCTTATGAATAAAACAGTCTGTGTAATGTCCAAGATGCTTTATATATGACCATCACGGTCAAGGTAGCATGTCTTTTGCATATTTGCTATACTTTTACCCGATGTGAGCAGAGTGACCATCAGCTGGCTGAATAAGCACTTTGGTCCTAAGGTTAAACATAACATTACAACCCAACGGTAAAGTTAATCTTCAAATTCATCATATTCACGGTGAATACTAACTTAACTGCAGTCAAAGATTTGCTTTGTGAATAATGAAGTAAAGGTGTCCGGAGCCACAAATGAAGTTCAACTCCCTTATAAAGTTTACCCTGTCCGGCCACACATTCATGTTGATGTATGTGAGCTCCTGCCTTGGAAGCTGTTGGCTATTTCGGCTGTTACAGGGAGACAAAAAAGAGTGATTACAAACAGTGCAGGCTTTGCTCTGCTTTCTACAGGGAGTGCAGAATTATTAGGCAAGTTGTATTTTTGAGGAATAATTTTATTATTGAACAACAACCATGTTCTCAATGAACCCAAAAAACTCATTAATATCAAAGCTGAATGTTTTTGGAAGTAGTTTTTAGTTTTAGCTATTTTAGGGGGATATCTGTGTGTGCAGGTGACTATTACTGTGCATAATTATTAGGCAACTTAACAAAAAACAAATATATACCCATTTCAATTATTTATTTTTACCAGTGACAATATAACCCCACAAGCTCATCTTTGATGATACCAGCCCAAACCAGTACTCCACCTCCACCTTGCTGGCGTCTGAGTCGGACTGGAGCTCTCTGCCCTTTACCAATCCAGCCACGGGCCCATCCATCTGGCCCATCAAGACTCACTCTCATTTCATCAGTCCATAAAACCTTAGAAAAACCAGTCTTGAGATATTTCTTGGCCCAGTCTTGACGTTTCAGCTTGTGTGTCTTGTTCAGTGGTGGTCGTCTTTCAGCCTTTCTTACCTTGGCCATGTCTCTGAGTATTGCACACCTTGTGCTTTTGGGCACTCCAGTGATGTTGCAGCTCTGAAATATGGCCAAACTGGTGGCAAGTGGCATCTTGGCAGCTGCACGCTTGACTTTTCTCAGTTCATGGGCAGTTATTTTGCGCCTTGGTTTTTCCACACGCTTCTTGCGACCCTGTTGACTATTTTGAATGAAACGCTTGATTGTTCGATGATCACGCTTCAGAAGCTTTGCAATTTTGAGACTGCTGCATCCCTCTGCAAGATATCTCACTATTTTTGACTTTTCTGAGCCTGTCAAGTCCTTCTTTTGACCCATTTTGCCAAAGGAAAGGAGTTGCCTAATAATTATGCACACCTGATATAGGGTGTTGATGTCATTAGACCACACCCCTTCTCATTACAGAGATGCACATCACCTAATATGCTTAATTGGTAGTAGGCTTCCGAGCCTATACAGCTTGGAGTAAGACAACATGCATGAAGAGGATGATGTGGACAAAATACTCATTTGCCTAATAATTCTGCACTCCATGTATTTCACTTTGTGTGTGTATATAAGTGGAGTAAGACAAGTGACAATAAGAAAGCAGAGCAGAGGAGAGAGGGATTAAGATAACTTTAATCTTAGATGTCAGAAGGCCTGGCAAAAAAATCTGTCTCCATTAAAAGCAAAGAGAGAAGCTGACAGTGTCATAGTCATTTTACAAACCTGGAGCGGTTCAGTGGTTGTTCATGGGTTCCTTTTGTTGTTGTTTGCTGGGAGCTGTGTCCAATCAGCTTGTTTTGGTCTAAGATGCTGGTGGTCTAGTGTCATATTCAGTTATTCTCAATGATTGTAGCACCTTTAACATCCAGCGGGGTTTGACCACATACACTATGCTTTATAAACCCACACACCAGCACAAAACATGCTACATTTATATCGGTCTTTGCCAGATGAAAACTCTCCAATCTTAGTAACATTCATAATTGAAGGTTTCTAGGTTAAACTGTTAGTGTATTTCTATGCATATGATGCCCATTCTAATGTATTTAATGAGATCAGTAGGTGTTATATAAATATATTAAATTAAAATTTTGTTTGTCACATACTCAGTACAACATGTAGTGAAATGTTTGTGTCCAAGCTGCGGACAGGCTGCAGATGTAGCTGCGCCATTCCAGGGCTTAGTTTTAGCACGGGGCAGGGGGTCTAGCCAGGACCATTACTGGATACCGAGTGGGAATCAAACTTGCGACTCCTGCTCTGTTTTTAAAAAAACAAACAAAATAGAACACCTCCTGTAATGTTGTTGAGGAATTGATGGACCTAATAGTTCACTATATAGGGGTTTGTCAAAGGAGATGAGGATGCTAGCCGATGTACACGGTAGAAGCAAAAATCTAGGGAGGAAAGGAGGGTGAAGACTGGTGAGCGGTTGAGGTGCAGGGTTAAATAAAAGAGGGAGGATGAAAGGGACAGGGAGGGAAAGTGAGATAATGAGCTGGAACAAGAGTGAGCAGATACAAAGCCAGCAAACGAATGAGAGATTTAATGGGACAGAAAGTGAGGGGAAAAAATGGAGAGCTAGAGGGATCAAACGAGTGCATGAGCGAGAAAGAGATGGAGATTTGATGGGATAGAGTTAGGGAACAAAACAGAGTTTTGGAAAACCCCAAGGCAGTCTGTGTCTCTTCCCGTCCATCCACATGTCTGTTTCCTACACTTTCTAACTTCCTGGAACAGAGGGATACTGCCAGACAGATGAAAGCAGAAGTGAAAGGCCAGAGCAAGGGGAGGAGAGGAGGGGTGTCAAGGAAGATACGTAGATGGACTGGGGGAGACGTAAGAGCAGGAAAATGAAATGCTTTATCTCTCTTGAGTGCAAGAGGTGACAAAGGTAAAGATCTGAAGAGAGGCTATAGACACGCTGAGTGCCAGACAGAGGGATGGCATTTCTCCCTCCCTGGGGAAGGAAGATCAAACAGGTTAAGGTGAGAAGCTTTAAGGAGTATGCACCAAATCAGAATTTTCTGCTTTAATCTTTAGCACAAGCCCTACTAATTAAACATTAAACGTTTTTGTGTTGTTTAATGTAGAGAAAATTTAAAAGCACAGAAAAAAATCATACCCTAAAGTAATCTTCAAAATGTTCAAAACTGTCTTAAAGTTAAAGGTTATAGACATTCCTGCAAGCAGAGCTGAACATCTGAACATCTAGTGAAGTTTGCAATATCCACAATAAAGTGACAGTTTTCATGCTAAACATGGTAACCATTATGCTGTTTAATAGTTTTATGTGATATCATGTCGGAATCATTTTTACATGCTAACTTGTAAGTGAAACTTTTAATATGCATAGCTATATGACATGCTAATAGGCTAACATACCTAACAATGGTGTATGCTACCCTGCAGCTGACATGCTAATAAAGCATGCTGAATAATACATTAAACATTAGCTGAATAAGATTTTTTTTAAACTTTGTGATTGCTTACTAATGTTCTTGTACTTTTTATATGCATATTTAAAATTTGAATGCTACCTTTGTATCAGTCATTATGCTGACTATGCTAATGATAACCCACTACAAACAAACTTGCTGAAACAGGCAAACTTGTGATTCAAATCTGTAAAGAAAGGTGTTGAGGAAGTGTTTGAGCACCATATGTTTATTTATGCTGCTTTTGGTACTTGGTACCACTCAAAACCACACCAAAAAAGACAAAAACACTGGGGTTCAATCCCCAGACAGAAAACAAAGTTGGTGTGCCCACTTTTGGATGACAGATGTGTGTAGGCTTTTCAAGTGTTGTAGTAGTAGTTTGAGGTATAAATAGACATGGAGAGCAGGAAAAGTGAATGACTTTTTCACCTTTGAAGGTGTGTTGGTGCTGCAAAAGATTAACGGGAATGGGGGATATTAAAAAAGAGAAGATGAGTGGGGGGCTTGAAGTGCTTTTCCAGGGCAAAGGATGTAAGAGGATGGAGGCAGGAGCTATTTTGCCTTGGCAGGCGTGGTGACATGGAGATTTAGGAGGGCACTTTATGTCTCTGGTATGGTGGGAAGAAGTGAAGTAAAGAGAGAACGTGAAGGGGAGTTGGAGTTATGGAGGGTGTCTTTCCTGAGTAGTTATAGTGGAAAAACACTGATGTGAATGGGACAAAGGGAAGAGATGAAAACTGCTTAGTTGTCCTTGTGTATTAGTGACAGAGGAGATGATATAATGCAAGCCTGCTAAGAAATTATCATATAAATTGATGGAGCCATAAAAAAAAGCTTTAGAGAATCCATTGTGCAGCTAAAACAACTTCTATGCTATGCGAGTCTATGCTTCGACTCTGCATAGAGCTCTGTGACTACTTTCTTTTTGGTATGACTCTATCAGCCAATACTGAATGTGTCTTGAATTTGTTTTTAACATCTTTTCAAACGCAGACAATAAGTGCTGTGATCATGGCGGTAATTTCTAAGGGCTTTTCTGTTTGTCTGACAGGGGACATAAATGTATTTGATGGCTTTTGGGAGGAACTGTCTGAGTCTGTTTGTTGCAAACAAACATAGTTGGATCAATGGGACTGAATACTTATCAAACAAATCAGACAAGCATGAATCATTTGCATCTAGCTTTATAACATTATTACACTCGCTTAGTACAAGTAAAGCCTGGTGTAGGCTTTTAATATTTCTTGTAGCCATAGTGGAGCTATATGGTAATTGTACTAGTTTAAATACTGAACGACCGCAATTTCAAGAGTTTAAATAATAAAACCTAAAAGCTCACTCGGGAAACCAATTGAAATTAAACTGAAAAAACCCCATTTAATTCAAAATGGAAACGTGGAGAAAAAAAGCATCATAACTATTTTAATTTTTATACTTTGTCGATGAATCAAGGAAAACCCAAAATGACTGTTTTTGTTTAATGAGGCAGTGGAAGCCTCATTAAGAAGAAATAGAAATGTCGCTACTTAATACAGCTTTTGAT